TGCACAGTTGATTGACAAGTCTTGGTTACAAGAAGAGCAAATTAGTACTGGTCACAGTGATTTTGAGACAGTGAACAAAGAAAGCTGCTGTCCCTCATTAAGAGAAAAACCAGTATGTAAAAGAAAGCCATTCTATGACCTCAAATAGCTTTAAAATATGCATTAAGTTAACTCCATCAACCAGTCAAACCAGGAGTACTGACATAACTACAAAACTCGCCATGTATCTATTATAAAAGAGGCTCCGTGTTCAAAACATGGTTAAAATTGTGTTGACAAAGCAAGAAACAGCTATCTTACTGTCTTGGCAAAAGGATGCCTAATTTTAGAGGAAGTACAAAGCTTCCTCTCGTGGGAGGTGGAGAGGCACCAAGAACTGCAAGTCCGCAGGGCACAACCACCTAAGAAATGACTTCTTTCCACTCACACACTGAGACTCTGCTGCAGCAGCGTTTGTCAAACTTTCCAGATTTCCAGAAGCATGCTCAATTCTCAGTTTACCTTAGCAGGAAGAGGAACTGGGAGGCTGTGGATATACCCAAACCTTTTAAAAAAAAAGCTATGTGGTGCACAGGGTTGGTTTAGCAGGAGCAAAGAAAACGCTTCCTACTTTCGGCTTCCTGCTCTCTAGTTATTGGTACTAAATACCTAATCTGGAATGCATGCTCACCTGTGACACCTGGGTGGTGTCATCTGGGTGGTGAGTTGGGGACACCATTAGAAAGCCACCTCAAGATAAATAGAGTAAAAGGAGTGCTTGCAGCTTCAAGGCAGTGCCCAGCGACCCTCCTTTTCAACATGGTTTGGCCCCCCAAACTGTTCCTATATAGAATTTCAGAAGCTGTGTTCTGGGAATCTGACTGTTAAAAGCAGGTGTCAGGGCTTCATGCATATACATGTGTGAAGTAGTTGTGCCAGAGGGACAGAAAAGAGGTAACAAGTAAACTCCTGCTCTCAAGGAGTTTGCAGTCTGAGCTGGATTATGTCAACAAGAGGGTGATGGAAAGTGAAAGACAACACTCACTCAAATAATGCGGCCAATGAGTGCTGTCAGTGGGGAATGTGGTGGACAGATGGGGAGGGAGAGGGAATGAACAAGGGTTTCCACTGAGGGCTTGCGCTGCCTCAGGCAGACCCTGTGATTTTACGAGAAGGGACTTCGCGCACAGGAAGGGGTGGCCTGGGGAACTCCTGGCCTGTCCAATTGAGCCTTGTGGTCTTCAAGGCAGTGAGAGAGCCAATGTGGACCCGTAACCTCTCTGTGGTATAAGGTCCAGGTTCACACACACACACACACACACACACACACACACACACACACATTGCTTACGCACATTTAGTGTAGACATTCTCATCAGGCACAAGTAGTTTAATTCAACGTAAAAATATCATTTTATGAGGTAAAACAAAGCTATTCACATTTTCTTTAGCCTTACAAATGACAAAAGTCACTGGCCTAGAAGGATTAGAAATACACTTTTCAAACCAACATTTAGCCTTTATCCTGAACCACAGTCTAAGTCTATACATAATAGTCCATTTTATTCCTGAAAATCTTTAAGCAAAGGCAGCACATCACAAGAGGCACTGCCATGAGGAAGGAGAGGATTTGGGCTGTGGAGCCAGAAGGGTTGATCCAACCTGCTTGCACCACCTACCAGCTGTGTGGTGCTGCGTGAACGGCTCTGTAAGGCTCCCTGTATACCACATGTGCACTGGGAATCAAAACCGTTCATCCTTCAGGGATTGTTGTGAAAGTTAAAGAAGAAAATACGTGAAAAACTCTAGGCACAGTGACTGGCATCTAAAGCTAATAGCAGCTATAAATTGCAGTTATAAATATAAATTGCATAATATTTGTTAGGTGCCAGGCACTATCATAAGCCTTTCTTGTACAAAAGTCACATAATGAAGTTAAATAATTTATTGATGAGGAAAACAGTGGCATGGAGAATTTAATTTAAGGAGCCCTTCCAACCAACATCACATGCTCACCAAGAGGCGAGGCTAAAATTTGCTTTTAGCCCCTCTGCTCTGCTGCCTCCCTATGCAGGGAGTAGCTGTTAGCTGCTCCCACGAGAACCCCCATTCACAGAGATCTGTGACTCTAAAATCCAGAAACCCCTATCTGAAAATTCGTTTTTTACTAAGTTTAACAAAAACTCAGTGGGCGGCAAAACATGATCTGAATTGATGCAAGGCTGTTCACAGTCTTTATTTATTTATCCTCTTGGTAATATCCTGCCTACGCTGTGCCGAACGATAGGAACCTGCAGTCTGCCACCCTGCTGAGGGGGCCACATAGCATGCAAACGCCATCCCATCACCGCTCTGAAAACCAACAAATAGCTGGATTCTGAAATTCACCTGGGCCCAGGGACTTTGAATATGGAATTGTGGGCCTCTTCTATTACTATTTTGTATCAATCATGTCATATTTCAAGAGTTTCTCCTAAAATGCAACCTCAGAGAGAGAAATGCGACAAAAGAACATAATAAATCACTGCCCTGGTCATAGTCATGTGTACCTCACGTTAACCCCCAGAGTTACAGTCATCGGACAATTTTTGAGTCCAGCACTAAAGGTGTTTTAGCACATCTGTACATCAAGATAGCTATTTGATATGAGTTTTTAAGTCATCATTATTTAATCTCTCCTGTTATACTCTTGCTAATTAGCCCTTCAGTAAACCTCAGCCTGTGTGCTTAGCGTGGCCCCGCCTACCTGCTGGATGCCATAGGTCCAGCCCTGCCGGATTCGATCCCGCGCCCACACATTATGGGCGTTTTCTGCCAACTTGTCCACCATGGCTTCCTGAGACGGGGTGAGTTTGATAAAGCTGAGGTCCATCGGGGCAGGCTTGTATCCACTTGTCAGCTGGTAACTATGGACCAAAGCAAAAGAAATATGTGACTGGCTTTTCCATAAAAGTAAATGTCTAAGAATCCTGACTTTTTATGGCCCCACTTGTTCTGTTTCATAAACTACAGTGGTAACCTTCCATTTATGCCAAGAACTCATTAGGTGGGAAGACTGCACCATCTTCAGGTTTTCACTTTTTTCCAATAAAACAGAAATGCGACAACTCACCTATCCCTCAAAGTTGAAAAGAACTTATCATTGTTTGCATTCCTAATAGTTGAGCCTTTTGTATGGTATAAATCAAATTATTGGTTATCAATGATAACATCTCATGGATTTCTCACCCAAAGTTCTCATTTTCCTTCAACTCTCAAATGTTATATTAATGCAATATTTATTTAATAAATCTGTGTGTCTTTTCAGATAGTTGCTGTTCATTATTCTATAAGAAAGATCTAGTGCATTTATTTATAAATTATTTTCCTGTTGCCATTCCTAGTTACATAATTTAGGAAGCCAGATAAGACAGTGATGAGGAAAATCCAGGCAGAACCATTTAAAACATTATGAAGGTCTGGAGTTTAGAGAACTCTTACCACAGACTATTTCCACACTCTGAGCTAGAGAGAGGGGCAACTAACATGAGTAAAAGTTTTGTTCTTTTGGAAGAAATATAAAGTTGAAAATATAAAATTTTCAACACACATAACGGGAAGGCCATAGTACTGCCTAATCCATTCAGACACATACAACTGTCTCCTATTTAATGACTGTTGGCTCAAAGCCTCCTTTTCAGCTGCTTCTCTCTCATTCTCTGCCACACTGTGTTCCCTATAATCAACTGTGCCTTGAGGTCAGGATCTGTCTCTGACCCACTTTTCTAACTGTCATTATGCTTAACACAGTGTGTGGCAGACAGCAGCCTTTCAGCCTATATGTTTTGAAAGAATTAACAACTGTAGTTACCAAGTTAACATAAAGATACATACATCTTCATCTCAAAAGTTCTCCTTTTGTGCAAGTAAAGAAAAGAAAATTCACCAAATAATTATGCTAAGTTAAAAAAAAATTAATTATCCTAATGTGAGAAATGCTCTTTAAGATCAAATTTTAAGTCATCTTTACCCTTTTAATTATTCTGTGTAGCATCTTTAAAAGGTAAGCTCCTTGACAGCAGCAAGTTTGACTGCTTTGTCCCTAGCTGTCCCCAGAGCCTAGAACAGTGCCTGATACGTGATAAACATTCAATAAAAATATGTTGAATGAATCAATGTATTACAGCAATCAATAACTTTTGAGGTTGAATAAAGTAGACTTTACCTAAGTTACACCTATTTCATTATAAGACATTCGTATTTTATAAATCATTTATATACAAAAGACTTAGAAATATTGTGTTTTATTGAAGTAGATTACATTGGTCTGGCAATTGTAATAATCATGGCTATTTACTGCCTGTGCCATTCAAATTACATTCACACACTAAATTTATAGACAAGAAACTGTGTTCAGTTTTAAATCAGAACTCTGTATGTTTGGATAATTAACAGTATTGTTTTCTTTTTTTTAAAGGGAAGCCACATGGGATTTTTAGCCACTCATACAAATCATTATATTTTATAGAATTCCAATGTTTAAATAAACAAATCTACACATTTTAAGCACAGCATATATACAAGTTCTTATATGGGAAATACTTTCTCAAAAAACAGCTCCCAGTGAATTTCAAATGCAGCAACAGGAATTCAGGCAGGCAGGTCTAATCTCCAGATTATCATTATCAGCTGCATGCAGTGTCAGGCATGGCGATGATCTGTCTTTTGTGCTCTCCACCTCCCCTCTCTACTTCTCACCCTCCTCCGGACTTTCCCACAATTGCCCAGCACACAACAGCACACAATTCTCTTTCTTCTTTCATTTTTCAGCGGCCCTGACCCCGCCTCGATGTCACAGAGGAGACACATGGCCAAGTTAGGAAACTAATCTACAAATAACCGACGAGTGTCTATACACTGCTTTAATGGGGGTTGTGTGAATTCTAAAAGAGGGAAGATCCTTCGCCTGCAAACCGGTCCTCTGGGCAGACTTTCCAGCAACATCTCAGAAGAATGGGGAGGGTGGAAGGAGTTCTATAACATGTAAAGTTGCATACTATTGGCACAGGATTTCTCATTTTCTATATGCCCCTCTTCCTCTATGCAATATCTACTGGAGTTGCTTTACTCTGTCATCACAATGAAAACCCAAGGATGTGCATTTGCATCTGTTGATTTGAAACAGCACAATAATTAGTTCACATGTATTTTCAGATGTAGAAAATTCATTACTTTTCTTCATGATCCTATGCAAGAAAGGACTTCAACTTTAAAGCAGCTCTTTTAAATAGATAATCCTATCCAAATTAAAGTCACTCCCCTTTTATCTGAACCTTATTTCCACACTGTTGTACTTTACATTATCTTCTATAGTCAAAATACAAATAACCTTGAAATTAATAGACTTCGACCTACTGTATTTGATAAAATACGCTGACTAATGAATGCTTAAGCCAATATGAATTCGTGATATCAACAATAATTTATAAATCCATTTTTGTTTGTCATACATGTTGATAAAGTCACTAAGATTCAAATGATTATATCAAAGTGAGACTTTTTTTAAAGGGCATAAATGTACTTTTGCAAGCAATGTCCATTTCATCTTATTAATACAATTCAAACAGGTACATAAAGATCAATCAACTGTTAATATGAACTATTATCTTCTTCTGTTTAAAAAAGAACTAAGAATAGAGCTTTTCGATAAAATGTGATTGACATGAATCTTGGAAGCTAAATGGTTTCAAGGAAAGTGTCAGATTGAGTTCCAGAAATTTAAAAGAAATGAATGAAAGGTTGCCATAACAATTCTTGGGAAGCGGAATTTCATAGCCCAAATAACAGGGAAAAGTCACATCATTAGCAATTATATGATACAAAATATGTATAGCTCATAGTAAAGACAGCTGTGTATTATATTCCACCTTCTCAAGCGTCCTGGAAAAATTCTACTAGAGTCAGGCAATAGAGCTCTTTTCCCTCCAATCTATCGGCTCAGTAGGTATAGTTTTACTGCCCCTATTTTTTTTTGTTTGTTTGTTTTTGTTTTTGTGTTTGTTTTCGTTTTTAATATAGGAAAAAGTAGGAATTCTACTCAATATTTTTTACATATTGACATTTTCCCCAATACCATTTTCTTTTTTTTTCCTTTTTTTTTTTTTTTTGCATTTTACTTTTTTTGTTTGTTTGTTTTGTTCTTTTTTTTATTGTTAGTTTCAGGTGTACAGAACAATGCAATAGTTACCCTTTTCACCC